GTGAGGGTGAGATCTCCATATGGAGATGCTTTTGGGACGTGACTACTGCCACAGGGCTCACCTCAGACTTTGAAATGATTTCATTTTTCTTTGTCTGCTTTTGATTGAGAAATTCTTAGACTCTTCCCTCTGCAGCTGCCCTTAAACTTCCATACCTAGCATGTGACTCTTGCTTAGAAAAGCTCACGTGGGACTCAAATGCTTCTCCCTGATCTTCTGGCTATTAATACCCAAGATCAGCAGTTTTTGCACCTTTTTAAAGAAAATTATTAAAAAAAGCCCCTTTCTTCAAATAAAGTCTTGTTGGAAAATTCATTATATAATAATAGCTGACATATTTATTGAGCATTTACCATGTGCCAGACCTCATGCTAAATGCTTTGTGTTTTCATATGTTATCGTGAACACAATGCTATAAAGTCATCTATTATGTTACTTATTTTACAAAGGAAGGAACGGAGGCACAGAGGGGTTAAGTCCCTTTTCAAGGTCACATGGTGAGTAAATGGGTACAGCTAGAAATGGATCATATACATGTATTCCAGCTCCTACGGCCTAGCCTTAATAACCACGAGGCTGTACTGCCTCCAGAGATAAAATGGAGGAGCTCTGCTTGACAGTGGAGGGCTGGAGCCTGACCTTCTCAATTGTTACTCCACCCTCCTTCTATGCTGGCCCCTGGGGGATTTTGCAGGAACCCCCTAGAGCTATCCCAATCTAGAAACTTTTGCTGCAGACAAAATCTAAACAAGGCATTGCATGTTGGTGAGGCATGGAGAGGTGTGTATGATGTGTGGATGTGCAGGCGCGCAGGTATACAGGTGTGCAGTTGTGCAAATGTACATGTGTGCAGATGGAGCTCCAAGAAGTAGGAATGATGTCAGGATACTCAAGGACTTGTCACATGGTTGCCTACTGAAACTTGATGAGAGAAGTAACCTTTTTAAGTAACCATACACATGTGAAAAATATGCAGCCACCCCACTTTGCTAAATCTTTGTTTTGAAACAACTGAAGGGAAGGCCAGGATGAGTTAATAAAATTCTAGAGCATTTTGCAATCTGTGACTGTCCGCCTCCCAGCCTGAAGTGCAGCCAGGCAGAAATCCTGCTTCAAAGAGCAGGTCAGAGTCCTTTGTGGTTAGCACATCGAGGGCACAGATTCAGCAGAACTCTGCTAATGCCATTGGAAACGTTTTTTTTTGAAAACAGCTGGTTTTCCTAAGTAGGTTAAGTATTCCTCTCTGCCCTTTTGTCGACATGATTTGTCTAATGGGCACATCATTTACTTTTTCCCTTTCCCTCCTATTGGTCTCAAAGTATCTACACTGTCAAAAGTTCAGAATTGGAATGGTTGGGATTGAGACCTGTGTTGCTTTTGTTCAAGATGAAAAATGAAGAGACAGAGAGAAAGCTGTTTTCCATCCTAACTGGAGGCCTGAGGCGTTCCTGGGTCTAGTGAGCCCCTAGCAAGGGAGGGTCTCTTTACTAAACACTCTATTTGCGGAGCTCTGGTTAGACGTTCAGCTGCTAACCAAAAGGTCAGCAGTTCGAATCCACCAGTCGCTCCTTGGAAACCCGATGGGGCGGTTCTGCTCTGCTCTGTAGGGTCTCTGTGAGTCGGAATTGACTCCACCATAATGTGTTTGGTTTTTTTAAAATTTATTTTAAGTATGCGGAATCGCGTTTAATCCTCCCACCTCTAGGGGGCAGATACTGTTGCAGCTCAGGAAAGTAGAGCTCAGAGACGTCAGATCAAACAAGCCTGCCTGAGGTCACGTGGCTCCTACGCGGCCACACCAGCCCTTGAGCCGAGACTCCAACAGAAAGCTCCCGTTGGGGCAGACCCTGGGGGAGGCCCTGTATTCAAGATGCAGTTTTCTGAGCGGAGGCCGAGCCCCTCAGGAGAGAAGTTTCAGAGCGCGCTGGCCAGCGAGCACAGGGAGTTTGCAGTCCACGTCCAGAGGCGAACCTGGCGGTCACCTCACGCCTCAGGCCTTCGCCGAAACTCAGACCCATGTGCGGCCTCTCTAGGTGGCGATGTCACTGTCCGAAAAGGACAGAAAGCACTCCCACTGCCAGGTATTCCTCACACCGACAGGACTCTGAGGCTCACCCGGTGCCTGGCAGCTCCTAGAGAGTCGCTCACTCAAGACTGACCTTTCGTGCCCAATTCTGACCTTTACAAGGTCAGAGACACACAGCTTCTTCTGAAATCCAGGATAGCCACGTGGCAGGTCAAAAGCCTGGCTCCTCCTTAAGAGAACATTCAGAACCTGGACACTCCTGGAGGATATTTTATTTTAATTGGATGCAAGACTTGGTGGAAGTTTTTATTTTCTCAAGGGTTGGCTGGAATCAGAGAAGCTTCTGGAAGGAATCCTAGAAATGAACTGGTCCAACTCCCTCATTTCAGCGTTGGAAATGTGGAGGCCTCAGATGGAGAAAGTTGTGTTTGCGTCTCTAATGCTTTGTTGGATTTTTAAACCACATTGGCAACCCTACTGGTGATCACTTTTGTTAATCCTTCAGTTTTAAACACTTAGGTGTGCTCGCCATGTGCCAGGCCATATCAAACTGCTTCATAGGTATTAACTCATTTCATCCTCCTAACAACTCTGTGAGGTAGGCATTCTTCTTATTATTCCCATTTTACAGAGGAGAAAATTGGGACACCGGAGGTTAAGAGAGCACAGCTAGTGTCAAAGCCAGACTTCCCATTTAGGATGACTAGCTCAAACTCTGAGCTCTTCACAATCACAGAAGCTGCTGCTCACTGCCTGGGGCATGGCATGGAGCAGGCAGTGGAGGCCATCTGCCTCCAATGCCCCAGCTGCCCCCCAGAAAACGGCAGAAAGAGGGAGCTCCCAGGATGGTAGGTCTGGGTTAGAAGCGGCCTGGGGAGAGGACGGGGGCTGGGCCCCACCATCTTGGGACACGTGGATGGAGGGGAGGAGACATCAAAGCCTTCATTTTCCTTCTTCAAATTTAGCCTCCTAACCAAATAGGGAAGGAGCCCTGGTGGCACAATGATTAAGTGCTCGGCTGCTAACTGAGAGGTCAGCGGTTCAAACCCACCAGTGGCTCCATGGGAGAAAGATGTAGCAGTCTGCACCCTTAAAGATTACAGCCTTGGAAACCCTACGGGGCAGTTCTACTCTCTCCTATAGGGTCACTATGAGTTGGAATAGACTCGATGGCACTTAACAGCAACCACCACCAAATAACGAGGGGAGGAGATTACCTTTCTCATATATTTCTGGGAAATGAGGCGCTTCTTAGCCTACTGGGGAATTATATGTATCTGTATGATTCAAGTTCGAGTGCAGTTAGCTGGGCACTTCAGGTGAGGGTGAGAGACTCTGTGTGTATATGTGTGTGGGGTGGTGGTGGTGGTCATACTGGGTAGTGGCAGGGGTAATGACCTCAGGTTTGTCTGTGCAGCCCTGGTCCTGGCCTGGGGAATGGGGCTTCCTGGTGGTGGTGACATTTCATATTGTCCTCGGAGGCTTGGCCTCTCCTGGAAACTGCCTGCCTGTGACTCTACTTGCGGGCTCCGACCGGGCTGGGGTGCACAGGGTTAAGCTCTGGGAGGATGACAGCTGAATTAGCCCTTGCATCACCACCTTCGGGTGTGCACCTGCCAGGCCCAGCAGTCAGCCAGGTTTGCCATGATGTGCAGTCACCCAAGCAGACAGGGGACAGAGGCCTGCAGAGGGTTTCTGGAGCAGAGCTCAGCTGGCCTCCTTGTGACATGGCCTTTGCACAAGACACCATGCTTCCTTCTCAGGGGGAGAAAATGGCCGAGAGAGAGGAGGAGGTGTGGGGAGGGAGGCCTGGGGGACAGCACGGGGACTCATGTGTACTGAGCTCTTGCTTTATGCCAGGCTATATATTTTATATTCTTTGGCTCCCTTCATCATCACAGCGACCCTTATCATCTCTGCTTTAGAGATGAGGAAATGGAAGCTCAGGGAATAACAATGACATTAATATCGATAACCAGAGTATTTAATCATTTGTAAGGTGACCATGTAGGATAGTTAAGAGCACAGGTGCTGAAGTCACCTTGCCTTATCCATTGCCATCAAGTCAATTCCAACTCACCTCGACCCTACAGGGTAGAATAGAACTGCCCCACAGGGGTTCCATCTTTACGGAAGCAGAATGCCACATCTTTCTCCCATGGAGTGGCTGGTGGGTTCTAACCAATGATCTTTTAACCACTGTGCTACCAGGGCTCCTTCAACTTGCCTTGGAACTCAACTAACCGTGTAATCTTGAGAAAGTGACTTAACCTCTCTGTGCCTTTGTTTCTTCATCTATAAAATGGTGATAATAATTGTCCCTTTCTTTTGTAAGGATGAAATGGGTACTTGGCATACATCTGGCACATAGCTAGTGCTCAGTAAATGTTAGTAATACCACAGTGATCAAGCACCCACAGTGTCCTGGGTTCTGGCTAAGGGCTTTCTTCCCACTACATTATTTAAATATCATTGTAACCCCAAGTTGTTGTTGGTAGTTGCCATTGACTTGATTCTGATGACCTCATGTGTTAAGAGTAGAATTGCTCCATAGGATTTTCAAGGCTGTGATCTTTTGGAAGTAGATCCCCAGGCCTTTCTTCTGAGGCACCTCTGGGTGGGTTTGAACTGCCAACTTTTTGGCTAGTAGTTGAATGCTTAACCATTTGCACCACCCAGGAACCTCAAGAAATTGGCATTATTTCCTCATTTTACCTGTTAGCAAAATGAGACTCAGAGAGGTTAGTTGAGTGGCCCAAGACCACAGAGCAGGGAAGAGGTTGGCATGAAGATTCTAGTGCTATCCTCTCTGCAGAGACTGCCCTTCCTGCTGGCTCGGCCTTCCCCCGTCCCTCTGCCCTAAACGGTGGTGAAGGGCTGGCATTTCCAGCTTGTCATCTGACCAAGGCCAGCACCACCTCCTTCCCAATCCCGTCCCAGCTACCCTCAGATGAACTCCTCCAGACATACGCACCTGTTTGATGCTCAAAGGCAGGATAATACTCTTCATTGCTGAACAGATCTGTCCACGACATCAGGGGGTCGCAGAAGGACGCGTTGGGCAGGAAGGTGCTGTGTGTCACCGAGTCCAGCATCACCCTGCAAGAGCAGAAGAGGATGTGAGGAGGCGCAGGGCAACTGGCTCCTGGGAGCCAACAATGAGCAGAAGCCCCCGGCAGGGCAACACTTGGGTTTAATAAGGACAGCAGACACATGCTGCCAACTGTGAGCCAGGCACTCCTGTCAGTGCTGCCCATGTAGGACCTCATTTAATCCTTGCCACATCCTGTGAGGTTTGCACCTCTACTTCCATTTTATAGATGAGAAAATTGAGGCACAGAGCGGTTGAGACAATTGCTCAAGTTAACATAGCTTGTGAGTGGTGGAGCTGGGATTTGAGGATCGAGCCTCTTACTATGTAATACCAAAAAAAAAAAAAAAAAAAAAAACCAAACAAACAAACAAACAAAAAAACCCGTACCTGTTGACGTCGAGCAAATTCCGACTCATAACGACCCTATATGACAGAGTAGAACTGCCCCATAGGGTTTATAAGGAGCAGCTGGTAGACTTGAACTGCTGACCTTTTGGGCAGTAGCCAAGCTCTTAACCACTTTGCCACCAGGGCTGCTTCTCTGTAATACTGCCTCTTTATTTAAGTTTCATATTCGCTCACACCTCACCGCTTTAACTCTGGTTTATATGCTTCTGAAAACAGGGTAAGAATTGTTATATAAGAAAAGCTCCTACCCACAATTCTGAAATCTAAAAGCTCTGAAACCAGAAAGAGAGAGTGTATGTGTATGTGTGTGTGTGTTTGGTGCAAACTTATTTCCCAGAAAAAAATGAATCCTGAATTGAGATGAGGCTGATTATAGTTTTATCTATCCCATTCAGTGAGTATCCAGAGGATGCACTGCAGAAATATTAATGTGTGAGAGCCCTGGTGGTGCAGTGGTTAAGACCTCAGCTGCTAACCGAAAGGTCGGCAGTTTGAATCCACCAGCTGCCCCTTGGAAATCTTATGGGGCAGTTCTACTCTGTCCTATAGGGTTGCCAGGAGTTGGAATTGACTCGACGGCAACGAGTTTGGTTTTGGTTTTGGTTTGGAGCTGTCCTAGACCCTGTGGGTATATTTTGTATTCTGTGGCATATATACTGTATCACTTTCCATATACTGAAGAATTCTGAATTCTGCAGCAAATCTGGCTGCAAGGTTTGGGATAAGAGAGTGTGAACCTATGGTAATTATAGCTAGCACTAATTGAGTGCTTACTTCCCTTTGGGCTCCAAGCTAATTACTTTAATACTTTATGTTCATTATTCATGGTCTCCTCAGAACAGTGGCTCTGAGATAGGCACAGGTGTGATCCTATTTTACGGATGAGGGATGGAGGTGCTGAGATACCAGGTAACATGTGTCAAACCACCCAGCTGGTGGAGTTTGGGTGGCAACTGACATTTGTCTTTTTCAAAACGCCCATGATTCTAATCCCTGTGCTCCATTTCCTGCACACACTGGCGAGGGGGAAACTTCAGGGGAAAGTATGAGGCAGAAGAGACTGGCACTGAGACCCTTACACTCCTCCTTGCCTATGCCAATCTCCTTGTCAAACCGCTTCTTTGCAGCTTCGCATATTTACATGATATGGTGAAAATTAATCCATGTTTGGTGGATTAAAAAAATCTGTTCACCCAATTTATCTTTTTTGATTCTTACAGTAGCCTAATGAGATAGGGTGGCTCTACCCCCATTTTGCAAAAAAGGATGTGGCAGCTCAAGATCACATAGCTGGTAAGTGTCAGAGCGAAGACAAGAATCTGGCTTTTGGGATATTAAAAAACTAAATCAGTTGCTGTCGAGTCGATTCCAATTCATGGCGACCTCACATGTGTCAGGGTACAACTGTGCTCCACAGGGTTTTCAATGCCTGGTTTTTTAGAAGTAGATCACCAGGGCTTTCTTCCGAGGAGCGCTGGGTGAACTTGAACCTCTAACCTTTCGATTAGCAGCTGAGCACATTAACCATTTGCACCACGCAGGGACTCCTCTTGGGATATTAAAAGCATGGATTTTAAGATTGGTCATGAGCTTATCAATCATCTAGTCCAGTGTTTCTCAAACTTTAGTCATTTGCCTACTACCATGATAATTTTCATTCAGTCTGTACACTACGAGCACTATTATTTACTTAGTTTATTTTAAAAAAAATCAACTCCCTTTTTGTTTTAACATAAATACATTTATTTAAAAGGAAACTTTATATTGCCACTGTAAATGGAAAGTCAGTATTCTTTTAATCTACATAAAATAAATACATATGAATTTAAATAAAAATTGTTCATCCATATACTATGTAAATAAGGGCTTAGCAGACAATAACCTGTGGGCCAAATCTGGCCCGCCACCTGTTCTTGTGAAGTCCCTAGCTAAAAACAATTCTACATTTTTTTAAGGTTATATCTTAACTGGTTGTATAAGCATCTACATAACATCTTCGATTTTGCCTTTTTGGCTGACAAATCCTAAAATATTTACTGTCTGGCCCTTTTAAGAAAACGTGTGCTAACCCCTGACCAGATTCATCTTATGTATCACCAGTGAAGTGAGCAGCACATGTTGGAAGATACTGAGTAAGTCTAGTCTCTCCTCACCCCCGCCATTTTACAGCTGAGGACGTGAAGGCCGAGGGAATTTGTGTAACTCGCTCAAGGTCATACAGCCAGTGGAGAGCAGAGCTAAGTTGCAGAGAACCAGTTGCCATTGAGTTGATTCTGACTCATGGTTACCTCATGTGTGTCAGGGTAGAATTGTGCTCTGTAGGGTTTTCAATGGCTGATTTTTGGAAGTAAATCACCAGGCCTTTCTTCCAGGGTGCCTCTGGGTGGACTCAAACTTCCAACCTTTTGGTTAGCAGCTGAGTGCATTAACTGTTTGCACCACCCAAGGACTACTTAAGTTGTAGGAAGGTCTCAAATTTTCTGACTCTCAACCCGTCTGCTTGTCTTTCTACAAACACTCACAGTCACAACTACGCCCAGACACATCCCAGACACACTTAGATAGCAAGTGAAACCTAAGTACTGAAAGCGGCCGAGACTGTGTGATTTGAGAACCCAAGACCAATTCGCTGGGGTGTTTGCTAATCCCCAGTGGGCCTCGGATACAAATCTTTGCCATCATCATCATCACCACCACCAGACCTGCATGAGAACTGCACTCCTGACATAAATAAATAACCACATTTAAATTCTCAAACTCAGGCATCCTTTCTGGGCTACCCCCCCAAGAACAACCAGACCCCAATAGCAAGTCTCCTTCCTGAAGCCCTGAGAGGGTTAACATGCCCAGCAGGTTATCGTGGCCTTGGATCTCCTCCCCCTGGGAGCCATATCAGCTAGAGGTCAGGGCTGTCTGGGTCTGGGCTCTGATTTTCCCATGGATTGGATGGTTTTATATCCTGAGCGGGAGGCAGGAAGTGGGCCCTGGTGGAGCAGTGGTTAAAGTGCTCGGCTGCTAACCAAAAGTTAAGCAGTTTGAACCCACCAGTGCCTCCACTGGAGAAAGATGTGGCAGTCTGCTTCCTTAAAGATTTACAGCCTTGGAAACTCTATGGGGCAGTTCTAGTCTGTCCTATAGGATCGCTGTAAGTCAGAATTGACTCGATGGCGGTGGGTTTTGGGTTTGGGAGGCAGGATGAAGAGGGATGGGGCTGGAGGTTATGAGGGAGGGAAGGGCCCCTGGAACCCACAGCCACTTCTGCTTTTTGGACTGGACTGCAGAAAAGCTCTCTTAAGTGGGGACTAAGGGTAAAAATCCCCCCATTCATCTCTGGACCAGGAGGCTCAGAAAACCGAGGAAAAGGATGACGGGCTTCTGACATGACCTTCACTTGGTGGATTTGGAGAAATGAAAGGTAGATCCCAAATGGAAGAAAAGAGAAAACAGTCCCCATGCCTTAGTAGCAATAAAAATTCCTCCAAATACAAAATTCAACAATAAGAGCGAGATCTTCCTCATCTGTGCCTGACAAATAGCTCTCAGAAATCCTTTGATAAATGGAATTTGATCATATAACAATGAGGAATATTTTTAATCAGTTGGGTATTTTCCTCCTTTACAGGGTGTTTTCTTCTCTTTAGACCAGCCCCCTCACAAGATCTGTAATCTCCCCAGTGCTGTAGAGAATGCCATATCTGATTCCCTTTGGTAATTCCTTCTGTGGCAAATTATATCCATTAAGTTTTCTTAAAGGGCTCTCTCAGGTGTACGATGTGCCATTTTCCTTCTGTAATTATTTCTTGCTATTTGGAAAAACGTCTTTTCTAAAAGCCGAGAGCTTTTTTCTTCTTTTGCTATTGCAGTGGAAGAGGGTATTATTAACTCAGGGCTTCCCACAAAAGACTTTGGCCACTTAGCCAGCACACACGAGGCGTGAGAGCTCAGGAATAATGTCTGCTTTGTGTTCAGTAGCCCCTCTTCTTCAGTCCTCTAAGGTCCTTGCAATAATTGAACATTTTAGCCCTTAAAGATTTCTTTAATGTAGGTAGATCAGGGTGGGTGGGTAAGAACAACTGTTTGGGACCCTATTTCTTAGTGAGAACGTTGAGGCCCAGCCAGATGAAGGCACTGGCCTAGGGTTAGACCATGCATTCTCAATAGAAATGGTATTGTCTCCCAGAGGGCAAAGATCGGTTCTTAGGGGATCAGATCTCAGATATGACAACATTTTGTGGTCCTCCTGTGGGCCATAGTACATAAACGGACATAAAATATATCTATGCTATTAACATTTTGAGGAGAGAGATGATTAGGAATAAAATATCTAAAAAGACTCCTTAAAAACAAAACAAAAACCAGTTGTCACCAAGTCAATTTCGATTTGTGGCGACCCCATGTGTGTCAGAGTAGAACTGTGCACCATAGGGTTCGCAATGGCTGTGATTTTTCAGAAGTAGGTCATCTGGCCTTTCTTCTGAGGCACCTTTCGGTGGGTTCGAACTACCAATCTTTTGGTTAGTGGCCAAGCACTTAACTATTTGTGCCTCCTGTGGACTCCAAAGGCCCCTTCGGGGGACAATAGTGAAAAAAGGTTGAGAAGCACAGGGTTAGCCCACAAGTCAGCAGCAGGACAAGAAGGGGATATCTAGGAAGCGTCCTTGGCCTGCTGTTCTATCCACACTTTTCATTTTTCAAGGGGCTACCTGGCCTGTCATCATGGAAAGAGCACTGGGCTGGGAGTCATGATTCTGCCTTTTGCACCTTTCCAAGCCAGTTGTTCATCTACTAGATGAGGACACTGACAAGATGAACTCGAAGATCTTCCCTAGCTCCATGATCTTCTGCAGGCACCCAGTCACTTGGGCCAACACATCCAAACATATGCTCACATACACATATGCATACACATTGATTCTTTTTGGAGATGTGGACCAGCAAGTTCACCATACTGGAGTAAAATCCAATCACTACATACACAGATTAAACTTGCAGCTCTGAAAAAGCTCCTTGATTCCCTTTTCCTTCCTTCCTATGCCAATTACCTTCTACCCCACTGGGTGTGAGAGTTTTGGGAGAGCAGTGGTCTCCGGGCACTCTTTGCCTGGGCTAGCCAGGCCCCTTAAACACTCTGGACCCTCACTCACTGTCCACCAACAGACCCAAGGCTGTCGGAATCAGTTTCCCCAAAATGTAGTCACCTTTGCAGCTGGCTGGCAAGTAGGAAAGGATCAAAGATGGTTAACACAAGGTGGAGGAATCCAGTGGGTCCCTTCCACGAGAAAGGCTAGCTGCAGATACCTTTTGGGAGTGAGACAACAATGGCATGGATAGCTGAGGTCTCCGGATGCCTCCTGTGGCTTCCTAACCCTTCTTAGAGCCGGCTCACTCACCAAGCGTGCACGGGGAGGGGTCCACCTGGTCAGAGGGGCAGGCCTGTGGGCCTCTCGCCCCTACGGGAGTCAGAGGCAGCAACAACAGGTGCTCTGCCCATGGCCTGAGCAATGAGGTAGCTCTGCTCAGCCTTCCAGAGAGAGGGGAAGGAGCAAACCACCCAGCCTTGGCCAGTTTGCCAGAGGAGGAAAATTCCTTCCTGACCCTGGCGGGGATCATCAACTTCACTCTGGGCATGTGACCAAAAACCCGCCTAATTAAACATCTACACATTGGCGGTTCATGCACCAAAACATCACTGGGCAGAACAAGACCGTGAGGTTTCAAACTATGGAAAAGAAGGCCAAGAAAGGCCTTCCCTGATCCCACCATCGGAGCAGCAGCATTGGGGAAAAAAATAGTGTTGCCTCAGCACTGAATGTCCACCGGGTCCCGCGCCCTGTGGGCGAGACAGGCTCTGTTTCTTAACTCTTTGGACCTCCTTAAGAAGGGATGTATTGAGGACAACCCAATGGAATATTTCAACACTTGGTGTTAAAGAAGGATTGTGGGTTGGGTGCTTGAGTGTTTGTTCTTCTGGGAGAAATCAAAGCAGCTGTGGGAACAGACTCGCTGAGGTCTTGTCAAGTGAGTCTTCATTTTTCTTTAGCTTGTTTAGGGAATTTTGCTTGTTTGTTCGTTTTTAGCTGTTTTTCTGAAGGTGCCACAAAGACCCATGGAGGGTGTGCCGTAGAGAGCTCACTGTGGGCTTTGATGCAAAGCTCACTGGCTCTGGATTAGACACATTGGGTGTTAAATCGCAGCTCTGCCACCCACAAGGCAAGTGACGTGGGGCAAATCTCTGACTATTCAGCCTGCTGAAATTCTTTTGATTTTTCACACAAGGTGTGGCATATAAAAATTCAGAACCCTCTCTGATCTCCAGTTTCCTCATCTGTAAAATGGGGATTTTTAACACACCATCTTCAGAATATGCCGACCATGTAATAAAACCAGATAATATATGCAGAGGACTGGGGCAATGCCTGTGCGAAGTCCTGCCCCAGAGGGAAAAATCAGTTATCATCAATGTATGTAAAAGTCTGCTGCTCTGATACTGCTGAGGAAGAAAGATGCTCAAAATATGGAAACTCCTGCAAGAATACCTTGAATCATGAGAAACATTCCCACAGAGAACGTGAGGACGAAATAATTTAGCTTTTACTCAGGCGGGCAAACGACCCCTCTCCCTGGGTCTTTAAACTAGACTAAAACACCAACCTGTCTTCTTAAGTCACTTAACCTTTCAGGGCCTCAATTTTCCTCATCTGTAAAATGAAGAGGCTGTACCCAATGATCTCTGACATCCTTTCCAGCTTGTAAAAGTCTCAGCACATCCAAATGTGGGTTCCCAGCTTCAGTTTGAGAAAGGAACGTGTGCCACTGGTTGCTGCCAGCAGGGGGCGAACCCATAGGATCCCCGCGCACTGCAGTCTTTGACAAGGTCTGAGAATACAGTGGAAAAACCCTAATCATTGCTTCTCTGGAAGCATTCTATTCTGAGATGGTGTGAGAGGGAAAAATGGGTTTCTTTTAAACTATTTTGTACAGATGAATTCCTCAAAAATGCCCCAAACGCTAATAAGACAGCTATCTTCTTTGTACCAAGGGAGCAGTAAAGCAGGCTGACTGGAAAAGAAGGAGTTAATCCAGGGGCTGGTGGGCTCTTCTTTAAGCAGAATTTGTGTGTGTGCAGAGTGCCTGTACGCATTCTTTTAGTCCCCTTGGTTTAGTCAAGTGATCCTTAGGGAGTGGGGACTGGTGAGGAGGGGGTGGGTGGCCACCCAGCCTGAGAAGGCAAAAATGTTTCTCTCAAGCAAGCCATTAAATCCAAGCCAGACAGCTCCCCAGAGGCAGGTGCCTGAAGGACGCAGCGGAGGGGCTGTCACTCTGGAGCTGGAGACAGACGCACAGACCCAGGCCCCAGCCCGAGCCTCTTAGCCCTGACACCCTTTACAATCCATCTAAAAGAGCAAAGAAAAGGTGCTTACGTGAGACAGCGGTGGCTAGGTCCAAAGAGGAGGCTTTCAAGGCAAGAGAAGGCAGGCGTTCCCTACACCAGCGTACAGTGGAAATAAAGGCACCTGTAGCCTTGTGATATAAGTAACACCTACAGACAGGTCCGTTTGGTTTTTCAGGTTTATGCACAGCCCCTTTGATGACGGTGACATACAGTGTGGCATGGCTCCTTGAAGGGGGGGAATGGTTCTCACATGCAGAAAGTTTACCTTTATCCTGCTTTTGTGCCCAGGGCTCACCACCCCCAGCCCAGGGGACTCAGTAAACAAGCCGGGAATTCTTGCCTCTGGGAGCTTTTCGGGATTGTGCGTTTGCTGGGGAATTCTTTGGTGCAAGCTACAGGGGCAACTCAGAAACCTAGCCCTAGTGCTTGTCTACACTGCTTCCCTCCTGGGCTGGCTGGGCCCTGCTCTTTTATCTATCATGTCATTTTCCCTCTTTCCCTTGTGGCAAGGAAGAAGGGCAGTGGTTATGAACACAGATTTTTGCAGCTAGATGGCTTTGCATTCGAATCCCGGGCCTACCATTTTTCTAGCTGTGTCATGCTGAGCAACTTAACTAGCCTATCTGAGCCTCACTGGTCAAATGCAAATTTCAGTACCTATCCACAGGCTTTTGTCAGGATCACACGGAGTTACAAACAGTTAACATGCTTCCCTGATAACTGGAAGGTTGGAGGTTCAAGTCCACCCAGAGGTGCATTGGAAGAAAAGCCTGGAGACAGACTTCTGAAAAAATCAGCCATTGAAAACCCTATGGAGCACAGTTCTACTCTGACACACATGGTGTATCCATGAGTTGGAATTGACTGGACAGCAGCTGGCTTATGTTTGTAAAGCACCGAGTAAACCCTGTTGGCTATTATCATAGAATTTTTATCGATAGAGCACATTAATCAGAAACTCCCTTCTATATCATGTCTTCCAACCCTCCTCCTTTCGACCAAGTGAAAGAAACAGCCACCTGTAGAACCAATGTTGGGCCTTTCTTCGACATTTTCACTCAAAGCACTAACAGGGCACTGGTCACATTAACTTAACTCAACTTCTGACATCTTTGGAAGTATCAACTTTTGACATCTTTGGAAGTAATGAGCCACATGATGCCGTTCTCCCTTGTCCCTCCCTCGTTTTATGGATGGAGAAATGGAGTGGCTTAGCAGCCCAGTCTAGTGTCCAAAGCTAATAGTCCAGGGGGCCCGAGGTGGATGCCAGCTCTTGGGTGCCTTGCTGAGGCCTACCTTCTTTGTAGTACTTCCCTGTGAAAAGCAGAAACTTGATCTCATTTAGACTGTGAAATACAGTGTCCCAAGCCATCCATGTGACAGCGTTTATAACCCTATGCCTTTTTGACCTGTGCTTCCACTTCTCTTGGGCAGCTGAGAGTTTGTGTCCAAACTGCAGTCTCCAAGCTTTAAAGTGAGAGCAGGGACTGGTTGGTTAGGTTTTCTGGAGAACGCTGGGCACGTGTACAAACATACAAATGCAAACGGACTTACACTCTGGAGGAACAAAAGGCAGTTCATTAGAGGACCCAGGGTGTCATCATGGAAAAATTGTTGAAGGAAGATAAGGGGACTGTCTATGCCACTGACCTGCTGTGTGACCTCAGGCAAGTCAGGTAGCTTCTCTGGGCTTCATTTTCCCCAGTGATAAAAGGAGGAGGTTGGATTAGAATAGTGGTTTTCAAATTGTGCCCTGAGGAACCACAGCGGTTCCCATGGGGGCAAGAGGATGGGGGAGTGAGGGAGTGAGACTCCAGACTCCTCCTCCCTGATTCATAAGTACATCTCAGCTTTTATATAAATCTTTTGGGTAAGATTTCATTTGAACAAAGGAATCCGCACTTAAAGGAGCTGGTAAGTAACTGGATTACATGGTCTTTGAGATTCCTTTCAGCTCTGAGATTGTGTGATCTCCCGTCTTCCTCCTTGGTTTCTAGAGGATTGTGAGAGTCCTACACGCTGTGTCCTCTGCTGCTGGCCCTTTTTGATCTTGTCACTGGTTTCTGAAAGGCATCCAATGTTTGTGTCTGCACACACACACTTTTCTCCATGGAGAGGTTTTCAAAGAAAAACATAGTATTCTGATATTATTTTTAGAAAAGAGTCTGTTGGAGAAATTACATTCTTCTCTGCTCCATTGGCTTGAATATTTAAAAATGAAAAGCTTTCTGGCAGTGGGTGTGCATGACAACAAACCGTTTGTCTCATAGTCCTGAAGGTACAATACAGCATCTCTGAGTGACTGTATATGAAATTATAGCCTTCTTGACCAGTGGGTGAAAGGGATGATCAAGATAAAACCAAAATAAAAGAGGAATTTGACTCTAATTAAATTTAACCATCACATTTAACTTAAATGTGATTGGGATGGAGATCTTGGCCAGTATCAAACACTAAGCTTATAAAAACTGTGTTATGGATGTTTGTTGGAAGAAAACAGCTGGAGACTAAAGATGGAGGATGGGGGACAGATGAAGGACTGGAGATGTAGAAAGGGGCAGAAGAAGGAATGGGACATTTTAGAATGTCTAGCCTATTCTCCTTCTGATGTCTCAATCACATTGTAATAACAGTAACAGTAATTGGGGTTATTATCATAACAGTGGATAAGAGGACAGATTCTGGAGGGAGATATCCTAGATCTGAATCCCCAACTGCCATTTCCTAGCTGGCTCAGTCTGAGAAGCTTATTTAACCTTCCTGCCTCTCAGTTAGCTCATCTGTAAAATGGGCAAAAAAGAATACATCTCTTATAGGATTATCCTGTGAATTAAATGAATTAAAACCTGTGGAGCATAGAGAACCTAAGTGTGGGCTCTGTTATCTATGTGCCAGGTCTGTTCCTTTCATTACTCACATTAAATTCTCACAAAAATTCCATGAAGGACACAAAAGAATAAATATTGTATGATCCCACTTATAGGCAATCTCTAGAGTAGGCAAATGTATAGAGACCACAGTTATTAGTGGCAACTAGGAGTGGGGGAGGGGGAGGGGAGGGAGTCATTGCTTAGGGGGTGCTGAGTTTCTGTTAAGGGTGGTGGAAAGATTTAGAAATGGATAGTGGTGATGGTTGCATGACATGATGAATGTGATTAATGTCACGGAATTGTACATGTAAAAAATGTTGAAAATATTTTGTTGTGTATATACTGAACACAATTTAAAAGATTCTATGAGGGAGTTACTTATTTATGCCCATTTCAAAGATGAGGCAGCTGAGACACAGAGAGGTTAAGTAACTTGTCCACAGTCACACTGCTAACAAATGGTAGAGTAAGTATTTCTATCCAGGCTGCCTGCCTACAGAGCCCTATTCTCACTGCTGTGCTAACGAGTCTCTGGGTGCTCATGGGGTGGTTCTTTGGAAACAGAGATCAGGGGGTCACACATTTATAGAGCATATTCCATGGGCCAGGCATGGTGTTAGGGTTATTCACCTGTCTTGCCTCAGTTATTTTTCACAATAACTTTGAGAAGTAGCTCTCACTATCCCCCCCGCCCCTTTTTTTAAGATGAGGAAAACAGGTGCCCTGCTTGTTGGGGTCACCCAGCTGGCCAGTGGCCAGGCCTAGGTTGAACTGAGACCTACCTAATGTTAAAACCACACTATGGAAACAGGAGCTCAAGTTGGCCCCTCTCCTTTTGCTCCAGCCTCAGAACTGGCCTCACTGGCCTCACTGGCTTTGAGCCCTCTCTGTTGGCTCCAGATCCTTGAGTCTCATGGTCATGGCTAGCACAGTTTGTCTCTCAGTGTATACTGGAAATTCTGGTGCCCTATTGAGTTCAAGTGACTTGAAGGACAAACCACTTCACATGAGGCTGGGGGCTACCATCCAATTCTTTTTACTAGATGTAACAGGCTCCATGTTTCAGCTGCTTTTCCTAGAACCTGTCCTCTTTGATCTAGGCCAACATTTCTTTATGTCATTTCTTCTCTTCCCCAACCTGCTACCTTCACCACCTCCCCAAGAGGAAGCACAGGGTGAAAACACAGTGAGTTAAAATAGAAACTTAGATAATTTCATAGATGATGCTATTAGGATCAGAGGATTTGCCATGTGATGGTAAAATGCATGAACTTTGAACTCAGACGCCTGTCTCTGGCAACTGCCACCTGGGAGACATTAGATGAGGCACCAACATTTTAGGACCTCAGCTTCCTCATCTGTGAAGTAGCTACTATGATTCCTGGTGCATTGTAAGTGCTCAGCAAATGGCAGCTATTGTATAAGTTACGGAGAGAAATGCAGATGTTAGTTGAGATCCCTCATCTTTGAGCATTACAGTATTAAGTAGGATATGTCCTTCTACAATGAATAATCACAATGGCTACCATTTGTTGAGCATTTATGGTGTAGTGGTTAAGAGCTTGGCTGCTAACCAAAAGGTCGATGGTTCAAATCTGCAAGCCACTCCTAGGAAACCCTACGGGGCAGTTCTACTCTGTCCTATAGGGTCACTATGAGCTGGAATCGACTCGATGGTAATGGGTTTGGTTTGGTTTGGTTTGGTTAGGAACTGTCTAGGTGTGCTACATGTATTAAGTAATTTAATCTTTGCATCACTCCTATGAAGTAGGTACCATAGTTATCACCAATAATTTACTGGTGAGGAAACTGAGGCATAGAGAGTTCAAGTAACTTGCCCAATATCACACAGCTAGTAGGATACAAAGCAAGAGTTGAATGTAGGCAGGATGGCACCAGAGTCCACAAGCTTCACTATTACGCTATCGTCAGTATCAGTGAGGTTCCAGAATCTAGGTCGAAGGGATACTCATTTTCTTAGGTACCCCAAGGTTGCTGGAAGGATCCTTGAAAGCAAGGACCAAAAGTTGTAAACTTATTGTCCCCTAAAGCACCCAGCATGGACTTGAGAACAAATAGGTGCTCAAGCAATTCTTGTTGGTTGATTGTGTGTTCTCAGATTTTTTTCTTTATTTCCTCTTGGGTATCTTCCTTCACTTTCATATGTCTATCTCATACCTTAGATCCTCATACTGTTCTTCCTCCTGATTAGGAGCCCCACTTCAGTTGATACATTAATGAGGTTGCTCCCCTAATAACCCTTCCTTGGCTGTGAGCTTGATGGAGGTAATGGATCTCTGTGTTATTTGCAGCAC